CTGCTGAATCAGCAGCTCTGGTGGTGGGAAAGCCCACAGGTCTGTGCTTTCCCAAGGCCTTGGTGCTACTGAGAGACTCCATTGTGTGAGGACTTTGTGGTGTGGTTGCCTGACTTAGGGGAACATCATTATCATTCACCTGTAGGCACAGATTGTAGGTATGGGAGGCCTGTGGGTCAAAGGGTTGAAGAACTTGTCAAGGACCATCATGACCTGGAGCTGGAGAAGGGGTTAAACCAAACGTGCTATGTTCTGAGGGAACATGATAGGCAAGCCATAATCCTCCCAGTTACTATTCAGAGTGTCCCAGGGCTTACTCCCCACAGAGCCATGCTATCTTGTCTTTAAGGACATCCTGCTTCAAGTGGTCTCTGCCAGCCCACCTCACCTGTATCTATGGCCCCTGAAATTAATCTGGCAACCTCCTCAAAGTCAGCCTGGAAAGGGAGGCTCCGTCCAGATCTAAGGCCCTGCATTCCAGGGTCCATACCCTGGCTTGGCCACTTTCTTTGGTACTGGCCAAGTTACTTGACTTCTCTGCACTTCAAGTTGCCCCTAGGAAAAAGCAGGATGAAGATGACTCTTGCCTTCCAGAGTGGTTACTATGCGATGGGGATGTGATGAGTGAATTAGAGAATGGGGAAGGCCCTTGGCGTGTGCGAAGTACATTTAACTGTTGAATAAGAATATCAAATTGATTGTTATAGCTCCTTGCTCCATGGTGTTCATTTTTGAGGGTCACACACCTAGGATGAACATGTCCAGGAGACAGTCAGAGGTGAGAGCTGGAACCAGGTGCACAGGGCTTTCTTGTGAGTCTTCCATTTATTATGGAGGACTGAGGTGCTGCTGGTATGTTTACCTGGCATAGCTCACCGGCATTGGAGTTACTTTCTCCTTGCACATACTCTGAAACCCAGGGAGTGGAGACTGGCAATACTGGGCACTCACCTCCTAGACCTGTTCACACAAGAGGCCTGACTAGGCTACCAGGATACTTGGAGCTGGAATTGAAGGAAGTGGACCTGGGGCAGAGCCTTAGTTGGCCTAATCCTTCATCTTGTCACCCACTGCTTTGCTGAGGAAGCAAGAGGTCACTTCCACTGTGTAGTCTTTTTTTTTTTTTTATTCTTTTCTTTTTGGAGAGATTTTCGCTATAGGGCCCGTGTGCTCGCCAGACAGACAGAGAGAGACATAGAGACAGAAAGCGAGAAATCACCCCCCAGGGGGGATAGTCACGCCGCAATCCCTTCTCCTCCATTCTCCTCTCGGGATCTTGGGCACACACGTACATGTGCCCGGCATGAGTTTTAAGCTACCGGGTCCGGGACACGAACCGCGATCGACTACCTGGGAGTCCAGTGACATAGCCATTACGCTAACTGCTGGTTCCCCACTGTGTAGTCTTGAACATGGGGCTGTTTGTTATGGCAGCTACTAACCTGGTCAGACTGATACACCACCCAAACCAAAAAAACTACTACACCGGGATACCCTCTCTCCAGACCCTTTTAAGGGATCCAATCTTGTTTCCCTGGACGTCGTCTCCCCAGTCTGACCTGGGCCCACATTGTCAGACCCGGGTAACATGGGGCCTGGACACCCTTCACTTTTTGTTTCCTCAACGTGACCCACCTTATACTCTTTTACAGCCTCCTCCATGGGCAGCACCGTGTGCGTCCGGTGCTCCCGAGATTCCCTGCAGACTACGCAGATGGGGATTTGATCCTCTTCACAAAAGAGTTTAAGGGGTTCCTGGTGCACCTGGCATAGGTCCCGCTTTTGGAGGCCAGGGTGCTGGCGGGCCATCTCAGCCACCTTAGTCAGTAGGCGGTTGGGTCGCAGGTTCCTCTGTGGGGACATTTCCCTGCACTCTGGGCAGGAGAACGAACTCTTTCTCTTCCTCCTTCCCTTCTTGCCTTTGGCCTTTTCCCAGCTCAGTTGGATGCACTCACGGCAGAAATTGTGGCCACAGGTTGTCATAACCGGGTCTATGAAATAATCAAGGCAGATGGAACATGTGGCCTCCTCTTGCAGCTTTCTCGCAAGTTCCACAGCATCCATGGCTCCTGAGGAGACACAAAGTGATGGTTTTGCTTTGAGTAACTCCTGAGGAGAGGCTAGACTTACGTCCACCTCCTGGTCCTGGTGCTCCAGGCTGGCTTCCTGGCTCTGTACACACTTCCATGCTTCCCACTACAGATAAAGATTAAAGCAGGGCCAGTCAGAGGGTCCATAGCTGTTGTTTTGTAGCATCATCAATAACCAAGGCACAAATGCCTCTCTGGAAATTGATAAAAACTGCCCTTGACCAAACCCTAGCCAGGTTCCCCTAACTTTTTTCTATAAGCCAGGATCCGGCCCTGTGCTGTTACTGGCCTACACAGCTCAGTTTTCTAGAAGAATCCTGCTAAGACACTTACACTCTCTCTCTCTCTCTCTCTTTCTCTCTCTCTCTCACATACTCCAGTCCTTCCTGCATGCCAGGTAAAGGTCTCTGCCTCCTCTGATGTCTGAGCCTTTGATCTGCCTGTTAAATCAGTTTAGCAAGAAAACCTCTTCCCCTGATGTCTTAAAAGTTTCCAGCAGTCTTTGCTCAGTTCAGAATAGAGCCCCTTCTTTCCCCTAGGGTGCCACCCCTTTGTAAGAAATTTAAATTAAAAAACCTTTTAACAAATATCAAAAGAGTCTTTTTTTAAACAAAATCTTCACAACAAAGGAAAAGGAGATTTTAAGAGAAAGATCTCTTTAGGGAGTGAGATGCAGTTCAGAAAAGACACCTGCACACACATTGTACACACATGTACATACAAACATGGATGTACAAACACTTGCACACAAATGCGGAGACTTGTGCACACATATACAAACACATACACATGCAAACGTTTGCACAGAAATACATACACATAGGCACACAGAAATACATGCACAGTGCATGCAAACAGCACACGTGCACAACCGTGAATGCAAACACAAAAACATAACATATGCATATACAAACACAGGAACACACATACATTTTGGAGTCTGAATAACACCTGATGGCATGAGGTGGATATCCCACCCTTCCCTGCCTACCTCACAGGATTGCTGTTGGTATGGAGTTAAGAGAAGGAATTTGGAAATTGTTTCCAAACTCCAAGCACTACCTTCATACTCTTTTTTGCAACCCCCTAAAGCAACGTCATCTATGGATTCTGCAAGCATTCTGGAGTCTGCCGAAAGATAATTCTATTAGAGCTTCTGGGCCCGGAGCACATCACATCAGCTCTCTTCCTCCTCAGGAGTCCTAAGGGCACAGCATAACCAAGGATTGAAGGTCTGGCTCACGCTGAGGCAGAGGCAGTGCTCGGCTCCAGGTCACCTATGGTGCTAGGAATGTCCCTTTGTTAGTGCTGGTCATCAGGTGATCCTAATGGTGGGAGTGGTCCACAGTTCTCACGTACAACCCTGTCCTGGACCGGCGGGTACGGGCTTGAAGGCCCACAGTCAGAGGTTGGGGATGGACCCGGGCTTGACCAGAGGCCGTAGGAATGTGACTCCGGAGTGGGGTGGGGGTCAGAGTGGGGGACTAGTACTCACAAGGGAGTGGGACCCAGTACAGTGCGCCGCACCGCGCATAGAGGCCAGGAAAGGCTGGGTTCAGCTCCGCCGAGCCCATGGGGCTATGGCTGGCGCCTGTGGCCTAAGGGCTTTGTGGCGTCAGCATGGGCGGGGGAGGGAGAGGATTTCAGGGAAGGCGGGGAAGCCGGCTCCTGGAGATGCGGGCGGCTAGTCTTTGGTAAAGCCGAGGTTGGTTTAGGAAAAGGCTGCGGGACAATAGAGGCTGACGACGGGCAGGGGGTGGGCGTAGGGGGAGTTTGCAGCGGATAGTGGGTAGGAGAGGAGGTTGTCGGTACCCGGCGGGGAGGGTTATAAAAAGGATAGGGGAGGAGCGTCCCCGTTGGCCTGCCTTGAGAAGGGTGGAGGTGGTAGGCAAACGTCAGGAGGCTAGTGTGGGACGGGGAGAGGGGTGGAGGTGTGGACGGCATCCTTGAATCGGTGTTGGTGCTGCCTGAGGCAAGACAAGTCGGGGCGGGTTCTGTGTAGCTGGGAATAGAAGTGGAGGATGGAGGTAAATTTGTGTTGCGGTGGGCGAGGAGGAGAAGGGGGAGAAAAGGCGGGAGCCTGGTTGGGCTGTGTGTGCATGTGCGCGTGTTGCTGGGCTGGGGAAGCAGCAGGGAGGGCAGCTAGGGGAGCTCCCTCTGGGAGCCGAGGTTGTCAGCAGCAGGGAGGTTGTGGGGGTACTGGGACAGGCAGGGGGGAGGCGACTGCGGGGGGGGGGGGG